ACTCCTTACTCTTCAGCATCTGTTAGGTGTTGACTAGTTAACTCTCACCCATAGCAATCCTTGGTACGACAGAGTTTGCCCAGTCCTTTGCCCTCTTCATGATCGCTGCTGTACTTAAATCATCATTGCATTCACTGTGTCACTTTATCTGGTGAAGGTCTTCCTCTCTTTAACTGACTTTAGGGTGAGTTTTTTCCCCCCTTATTCTTTATTTATTTTGTTTGTTTCTTTTGCTGACCTGTAAGTTAGCAGATTTTTCTTTTTACCAAAGAATATCAAAGCATGTGCTTCCCCATCATGCACACAAAAAGAATTTAAGAATACAACTATAACCATCTCTGCTTAAAAACAAAAGAACCAAACCAGGTTCTAGCAAGTTAATTGCAACTCACACTGACCTTGTGTGTTCCTGTGAAGAACTGAGATGTGTGAGGTTTGCTTGGCTGTGAACTTTTTGGACCTGTATTGATCTTTCCTCTACAGACCTATTAGGTGGAGTCAAATCACCAACCCTTTTGCTTTGGGCCATACAGGGACCAAGAGTCACCAAAGAATGTAGCAAATCAGGTAATTCACTGAGCTTCTGAAATACCACGGCAGTAAGTCTGCAGAGTGCACTTACCATGAGCACGCCATCCCTTGATGCATATGACAGTCCACCTGCTGTTGTAGTTGTCTCTGTGTGTCTTATAATCCTCTCCAACATGTTTCAGTTTCTTGAAGACAAAGCTGCATGGGTTTTTGAGTTCTTTCTCCCCTGCAACATTTCTCCCGTCTTCCTACAGTTGCTAATGTTTACATTCTCTCTAGCATTATCAGCCCTTTGTTTGATGCTGAGATAATTCTGACCCTGCATTGGGTTTCAAAGGATATGAATATTCATGAGAAGGGACTATCCGTCTTTCTCCTGAAGAATATACCTGGTCATTTCAAACTGGTGAACTCGTGGTTAACAGCCTGATACTACACACTGTGTCACTAGAACTCCTCAAGATCAAAGATTACAGCCTTCAATATAGATAACACCTCAACATCAAGAAAACAAAAATCCTCATAACGGGACCAATAAGCAACATCATGAAATGGAGAAAAGGTTAAAGTTGTCAAGGATTTCGTTCATTGGATCCACAGACAACACCTATGGTAGCAGCTGTCAAGAACTCTGCTGCTGTGTTGGGCAAATCTGCTGTCAGAGACCTCTTTACAATGCTACAGAGCAAGAATGTCCGTTTAAAGACTTAGGTGGTTCTGCTTCAAGCCACAGTCTTTTCAATTTCTTCATTTGCATGTGGAAGTCAGATAATAAGGGAAACCAAAGAAAAATGTATGCCTTTGAATCGTGGTGCTGGAGATGTGTGTTGAATGAACTGCCAAAAGAACAAACAAATCTATCCTGGAGAAAGTGCACCCAGGGTGCTCCTTGAGGCAAAGATGGTGAAACGTCATCTCACTTTGTGTATGATCTTAAGAGGCACCAGTATTTCAGGGAAAATACATCCTGTTTTGAAAAGTAGAGGTCCAGTGAGAGAGAAGACCCTCTATGAGAAGGATTGACATAGTGCAGCAACAGTGGGCTTCAGTATGACAGAGAATGTTGACCCTGATTATTGTTAATATGTGCTGTCAGGTCACTTGCTACTCATAGCATCCCTATGTACAACAGCCCTAAACCCTGCTCTGTCCTGTGCCAACCTTATTATCTCTAACACACCACCCCCGTTACCTCAGTCACTGAATCAATCCATCTCATCGAGGATCTTCCTCTCTTGTGCTGTCCCTCCACCCTCCCAAGCATGACATTCCTCTCCAAGGACTGGTCACTCCCATCTTGCCACATGCCCAGAGTATGCCAGATGGAGCTTCAGAATCCTTGCCTCCTAGGACCAGCCTACTTTCACCCTTTGTAGGATGACCCTGTTTGTTCTCCTAGCATTACAAAATAGAAAGAATAGATCAAAAGATATACCTATAGGGGTCAGATTTAACCCTCAGTCCACTACCTTGCAATTTCTGCTATAAATGCAGGCCAAGGTCCAACCAAAATTACATTTAGGCAAATGGTTAGCATCTGAGGAGTGTGACAGATTTCAGGGTACCCTAGCCATCCCGGTGACCCCAGGACTCAGAGCCCAGAAATCGGCAGAAGAAAATGCTGGTGAAAAGAACAGAGTTGACTCAGGAACAGGCAGGATGGAACGCAGGTGGCAGGACAGCGGTCGGTGTTGAGAGCCTTCTACTAAACCCTTCTGGTTTTGAGCTTTGATGGCTGGCCCCTGTGGGCGCTGGTCAAAGGAGAAGGACCTCAGGTCTGAAGGAGCTGAGGGAGAAACAAGATGATTAGGGGTCGCACACCTCTGGAGAGAAACTGATTCTGACTAAAAATGAGCCACAAAGCAGGAACTTGTTCTCATAATCCAGGCAGAAGCACAGTAGCTTGAACTGTGGCTCAAGGTCAGAGAAGGCTGACAAATCTTTGGAATTTTAGGGTAGCATGCGTTAGACAACCAGTTCAAAGTAGCGTAAGCAACAGCAATTTTAACAATAAAAGAATGTATTGGCTTATGTAACGGAAAAGTGAATTTTCAAGAATATAATTGGCGTCTCTGCGGAATCACCATGGCGGCTGGGACCCTGTACACATACCCTGAAAACTGGAGGGCCTTTAAGGCCCTCATTGCCGCTCAGTACAGTGGGGCTCAAGTCTGCGTGCTCTCCGCACCACCCCACTTCCATTTCGGCCAAACCAACCGCATCTCTGAATTTCTCCGCAAGTTTCCAGCTGGCAAGGTTCCAGCTTTTGAGGGTGACGATGGATTCTGTGTGTTTGAGAGCAATGCCATTGCCTATTACATGAGCAATGATGAGCTGCAGGGAAGTACCCCAGAGGCAGCAGCCCAGGTGGTACAGTGGGTGAGCTTTGCTGACAGCGACATCGTTCCCCTGGCCAGCGCTTGGGTGTTTCCCACCTCGGGCATCATGCACCACAACAAGCAGGCTACAGAGAATGCTAAGGAGGAGGTGAGGCGAATTCTGGGCCTCCTGGACCTTCACTTGAAGACGAGGACTTTCCTGGTGGGTGAACGTGTCACCTTGGCTGACATCACGGCTGTCTGGACCTTGTTGTGGCTCTACAAACAGGTGCTAGAGCCATCTTTCCGCCAGGCTTTCCCTAACACCAACCGCTGGTTCCTCACCTGCATTAACCAGCCTCAGTTCCGGGCAGTCCTAGGGGAGGTGAAACTCTGTTAGAAGATGGCCCAGTTCGATGCTAAAAAGTTTGCAGAAAGCCAGCTTAAAAAAAGATGTCCCACGGAAAGAGAAGGGACCCCGGGAGGAGAAGCAGAAGGCCCAGGCTGAGCAGAAGGAAGATAAAAAGGCAGTTGCTGCTGCTGCTCCCGAGGAGGAGATGGACGAATGTGAGCAGGCACTCGCTGCCGAGCCAAAGGCCAAGGACCCCTTTGCTCACCTGCCCAAAAGTACCTTCGTGTTGGACGAGTTTAAGCGCAAGTACTCCAATAAGGACACGCTGACTGTGGCCCTGCCCCATTTTTGGGAGCATTTTGATAAGGACGGCTGGTCCTTATGGTATGCCGAGTATCGCTTCCCTGAGGAGCTCACCCAGACCTTCATGAGCTGCAGCCTCATCACTGGAATGTTCCAGCGATTGGACACGCTGCGGAAGAACGCCTTTGCCAGTGTCATCCTCTTTGGAACCAACAATAGCAGCTCCATGCCTGGAGTGTGGGTCTTCAGAGGTCAAGAGCTTGACTTCCTGCTGAGTCCAGATTGGCAAGGTGGACTACGAGTCCTACACTGTCAGAAACTGGATCCTAGCAGTGAGGAGACCCAGACGCTGGTTCGAGAGTACTTCTGCTGGGAGGGGGCCTTCCAGCACGTGGGCAAGGCCTTCAACCAGGGCAAGATCTTCAAGTGAGCCAACGGCTTGTCACCTCGCTGCCTGCATCTGCCCTTCGGGGAGAATAGGGATCATTAAAGGAAACTGAACATTGGGGGGGGGAGAATATAATTGGCTGTGGGCAGCTATGTTGTAGTTGTTGTTGGGTGCTGTCAGGTGAACTCACAATGACCCTGTGAACAGCAGATCAAAACCATATCCTATCCTATGCCTTCCTCACCATCTCCACCGTGCTCAAGCCCGTCATTACAGTCACTGTGCCAATCCGTGTCATTGAGGATCTCTTATTCTCTTTTGCTGATCCTCTGCCTTTCCCAAGAACTGAACCCTCCCAGCCCAAAGTATATGAGACAAAGTTTCACCTTCAGCTACTGTGAGTCTATCTGCCTGTTGCCTCTCCCTCCTGTTTTCTGTGATACTTCTCCCATTTTAATGCAAGCCTCTATACTGGAAACATCCCAGGATCTTGGCTTATATTCTCCTCAAATATATAACATACTATTGAAAAGGAGTCAGTTCTCAAAGAAAAATCTGAGGTACTGTTAATAGAAGAAGGAATGGATGGTAGGATACAAAAAGCAACAGAATTCCACTATATCCAGCAACCCAGGTTAGCTGGGCTTTTACATTCCTTTGCTCCCATATCAAACACAGGGGAAGAAATAAGAAGGTTCCAGAATACGGGCTAGTGGTTTCATGGATGCCCCCATTTTATAACAAGTATAAAGGGCTGGTATTCTTTATACATATTGAAGAATTCCTGATTATTTATTGTCTCCATTTGGTGGTGGACAGATAGTGGAATTTACCACGTGAGCAGATCAAAGTGGGAGCATAGCAGCAGAATTCGTGACAATCATTAAAGGCTTCCCTTTTTAGGTAGGATATAAGTGGAACATTAATATATAACATAATTCTCTGGGCTGAAGTCAAGTCTAGCATCTTACATTAAGAAGATTAATTAGTTAATGTTTATAAAGTACTGTGCAGATATGCCCTTTTAAAATGCTAAGTATTCTAAAAACTACATTGTAACATTTTACTAAATGTAAAAGATCTAATGTTCATCCTTTCTTTCCTACAGGTTGGCAAAGATTCCTTTGGCAACAATTATATAGAAAACTTAAAACAGAATAATATTTCTACAGGTAGAGTTTCATCCTTTTTAAAGTTGGTTCTTAATAAATTTCTCCTGTGGTGATAGTGTAAGAAAAGTTGAGTATAACACTATCAAGAGGAGCCAGCACTTGGAAAAACACATCATGTTGGTATAGTTGGAGGGTCTGAAAAGGAGAGGATGGCAGAGATCCTGAAGACAGTACAAGGTCCTCATCTGTTGTTTATGGGTCACTGTGAGTTCCAGTTGCCCCAGTGACACACAACAACAACAACTTCTGTTGGCCAGAGAACTCCTCAACACAGCTTTGCCTAGTCTTGTTTCAGTGTCTTTTGGTTAAACCTTTGATGTATATTTCTCCAGGTAGGACTAAAATGATAGATTAAAAACGTCAGCTCCTTGAAATGTTTCAGAAGCAGTTGACAAAGGAAAAGCAGGCGGTGCATTCACAGTGTATTTTAAGTAAAATTCTTGAATGTGATAGCTGGAAAAAATACCCGAAAGCCATCAAGGCTGCCAGCATTTCTCAGAAATATTCATAGCTGTGTACATACACAGTTGCCTAGACCAGTGCATTTGTTTTCTTCATTGAAACAAACGACCAATTTGAGCTAAGAGACAAAAAGATCAAGCCATCATTTCATCACTATGAAATCATATGACCATCACATAAACACCATATGACAGGAGAAGAAAGTATAGGCTAGAGAGGGTCAGTGATTTGTACAAGAACACACAGCTAATTAGAGCGAGAGTGGAACATGGGTTTTCTGACTCCAGATCAGGGCGCTTTGCCACTGCCAAAGGCTGTATGACCAGCACTCCTGTGTACTTGCCAGACTTTGATTCTTGCTGAAATGCAAAAGTCAGTAGAATGAAGAACATCAAACAAGGTCCTCTTACTGGTTAGATCTTTTGTCTCCAATCTCAAATCTGTCATTTTTTTGAAGAAAATGAATGCATTCACTGGTCTAGGAAAATGCATATGTATATACAGCTATGAGTAATTTTGAGTAAAAGCGGAGGTGGTGTGATGGAGTTGTTATTAACGTGGAGAAGAGGTGTAGTTACATATAAAGCTACGTGGTTTTTCTCATTGTATAGGTGATGGGTATAAATTAGCACTGATTACTTATTTTCTTTATCATTCCAGATGGTTAAAGGTCAAAAAGAGTTTTCATATGGATTAGTGCTGAAATGATTAAACTACATTATCTGTGACAGGCTATATATATATGGGTGATTGTAATTTTCTTTTTTTCTTTTAGAATTTACATATCAGACTCAAGATGCTGCTACAGGAGCGGCTTCTATAATTGTCAATAATGAAGGTATGTGTTTTGCAAATTGGAGTGTCATTTCATGAAACAGACAGTTCATTTCTAAAACTAGATCTGAAAGCAGCATATTTTACTCGAATCCTGTGTCTTTCTTCCCATACCCACCTCTCTCTACTCCTCAAAGCCCAAAGCTTGGTTTTCCCCAATCTAAATATAAGCTTGTGTCCATTTAATTCATCTCTGAGTTGGTTATTGAAATGTAGAACTGTCCATCCACTATAGATATGAAGCACTAGCATTGCCTCACAATAACATATTTTATAAGGTTCCCACTACCCTTCATGCAAACTCAGAATTGGCATTTGTCTTTAGAAGCAGTCAAGTATTCATCTGTCATTCCAGCTACACTAGGTATGATATGTTAATAGGTGCTAAACAAAGTTGGAGGAATCATATTTATAGACTATTTATTGAGCAAATGGCACCAACTACTTCTGACTTATCATTGGCAATCAATTTTGTCTCCTCCTCAAACATCAATCAAACCTCGAAAGTCTGTACATGCAACGAAGTCTATCACAAGGTCTTGCCATTGTTGAAAATTTTGTCTTAAAAAGGGGTTACTTCCTTCTATTCTTATGTAAAGTTTTCATAGTTTCTGCAAACTTTTCTTCAGTTTAAAAGGATTTTTTTAATTTAAATAAAATTTTAATTTTATACTGGTTTACTTAAAAGTTCATATACAGTTGTTGGTGGGATTATAAAATGGTACAGCCACTCTGGAAGGCAGTTTGGTGTTTCCTCCAAAAGCTGAACAGAGAAATTCCATATGACCCAGCTATTCCACTGCTTGGAATATACCCCAAGAAAATGAGAACTGAGGCACAGAGACTTATACACTAATGTTCATAGCAGCGTTATTCACCATTGCAAGAACATAGAAACAGCCCAGATGTCCAACCACAATCTAATGGATTGAGAAATTATGATACATTCACACAATGGAATACTATGCAGCACACAGGAGCAATGATTTTGTAAATTACTACCTAAACTTGGAAGGGACTAGAGAGCATGATGCTGAGTAAACTAACTCAGTCCCATAAGGGCAAATACTGTATAAAACCATTGTAGAATGAATATGAGAATCCAAGGAAGGGAAAGTGGAAGCAGAGTGGTGAGGATAAAAGGTTGGGGGTGGGTTAATAATAGGGTTACACAATTTGATGGGTAGGAGTGGTGAAGGAAATGGGAAAGATCTGGTGTGAAAAACAATGTATCCAAACTTTGTAAATAAACCGGTATATAAAAAAACCAAAATTTGAATACATTGTTTTTCACACCAGATCTTTCCCATTTCCTTCACTACCCCTACCCATCAAATTGTGTGACCCTATTATTAACCACTCCCCACCACTCTGCCTGTCCTCACCCCTCTGCTCCTCCCCTGCCCTCCTTGAATCCTCATACTCATTCTACAATAATAGTTTTATATAGTACTTATTCTTATGAGACCGAGTTCACTTAGCATAATGCTCTCCATTCTCTCCCAAGTTAGGTAGTAATTTAGAAAATCATTCCTCCTGAGTGTTGCATAATATTCCATCTTGTGAATGTACCAAAATTTCTTAATCTATTAAATTGTGGTTGGACATTGGGGCTGTTTACATTTTCTTGCAATGGTTTTAAAAAGTTTTTTAAAACTTCACATACATCAAGGTTTTTATATCAATGAATATAGAGAAGGACGAAGCATTTCACCAGACACCTAGTATAGAACCTTGTCTGATATGGGCACTCAGTGTGCAGGTGACTTGCGCTTGTCACTATGTGTCTGCTTACTATGCAACTTACTTAAGACTGTTTCTCATAAAAAATATGGTCTTTGTGGCTTGACTTTGTTGTTGTTGTTAGGTGCCATCGAGTCACCCAAGACTCAAAGCGACCCTGTCAACAACAGATCTGACCCTACCCTATTCTGCACCATCTTCATGATCTCCAACATGCTCCAACCCCTTGTTATAGTCACCGCTGAACATGACTTCCCCTTTTTCTCTGACCCTTCACCTTTCCCAGCATAAAGTCCTTTTCCAAGGACTGCTTCCTCCTGACAGTGCCCTAAGTAAATGAGACAAAGTTTCACCATCCTTGCCTCTAAGGAACACTCTGGCTGTACTTCGTCCAAGACAGACCTGTTGGTTGTAGGGTTTGGAGGTTTTTATTTTATGACTTGACATTAATGAAAGTCACACTTTTATTAAATTTTATTAATTTTAATGAACATTTACAGAGATTTTGGGTTTCCATTCATTCATTGTTGCACTATTTCCTCTACCCTCCCCTCCCCCAGTTCGTTCCTCTTTTTTTCCCCCCAAGAAAAGTCTGTTTTAATTGTCCCATTGCCACAGTGCTTGTCAAAGCCAGTTCTGATTAATCTCCTTTGTCAGTGTGTCCTTTGCCATCCCCTATCACTCCTCCCTGAGAGAGACTTCAGAAAGTCACACATTTTTAAAAGATTCCATTTAGAGACAAGAGATTAAAAATTTCAATCTGACAATAGAAAGTTCATGTCCATTACTTTAATCTACATGTTAAGTAATTATTGATGCCAACTCTCTACTTTGAACCTCTTTTTGTGTTCTGGTGGCATCGTTCACAATGTATCAGTAGCTAACCAAAAGGTCACTGATCAAATCCACCAACTTCTTAGAGGGAGAGAGAAAGGAAGTATCCTTCCACACAGATGTGCAGTGGGCCCCTCATGGAGGGTCGCTGTGTGTTGGAACCGACTCAGTGACAGTAAGGCTTTGTATGTGTGTTTTGGGGATGACGTTGTTGTTGTTGTTGTTGTAGTAGTTTGGTGCCGTCGAGTCATAGATGACTCATAGTGACACTATGAACGAAAGGCCTGAGCACTGTTCATACATAGAGTTTCCAGAGGCAAGCCATTTAGGAAGTGGATGCTGCTCCTGCTTCCAGGCGTGATTTAGTCGGGAAGCTCCAGCCAACACTGTCCACCATGGATACCCATTACCACGATTGGCACATCACTGCCACAGGCTTCAGCATCACAGCAACCACGAGTTACCTCTGTACAGCAACGCACAGACCAGTGCTATACCACCTAGAAGAATGTTTGACAGGAAAACAGTTTGAACCTGGCCGAGGGCTGCAGATGAAAATCACCCACCTTCGGGTTGGTAGCATAGCTTCCTTTCCACTAGGCCAACGTAGCTCTCTCTTTGTCATTGTTGTTGCTATTGTTGTTTGGTGCCATCAAGTCCTAGACAGGGATGACATAAGTTCTATTTATTCCATATCTGTGAAACCAAAGACTCCATTTTCTCTTCAGAGGTATACTTTAGTTTGTTGTTGTTATGTGCCATCGAGTCGCCTGCGACTCATAGCGACCCTATGTACAAGAGCCCTAAATGCCATTCTATCCTGTGCCAGCCTTGTCGTCTCAAACACACTCATTCCCACCACCCCACTCACAGAATCGATCCACCGCATCGAGGGTATTCCTCTCCTTCACCGCCCCGCCACTCTGTTTATTATGATAGACTTTGCCCAGTTGATAGAGCATGAAAACGCCCTGTGGAGTGTAGAATGTGGTAGAACCACAACACCCACTGTCATCGAGTCTGTTCTGCCCAGCGATCCTGTAGGACAGAGAACTGCCTGTAAGGGGAGGAGACTCGGATGGAAGCGCACTGCCTCACTCTCTCCCATGGAGGAGTAACTGATGGGGCCACACTGTGACCTCCTGCCGCACCACCAGGGCTCCTCTGTAGTACAGTTAGAACAAGTGCACAGAGGTGAAGTGGAGCCTTTGCGTGAGAGCACGAATGTGGGATGTAAAGTACAAAGTTCAACTTTTTAATTGTCCTAAAACACATTTAAAACATACCATTAGTGACAGTTATTGCATTTACAGAGCTGTGCAACCACCATTATTATTTAGTTCCAAAACATTTTCATCTCCCCAAAAGGAAATGGAATCCATTAAGCTGTCACTCTCCCTTAATCCCTTAACCACTAACCTACGTCCTAGGACCTTACATACAAATGGAAGCATCCAATATATGGCCTTTCATAGCTGCCTTCTTTCACCGGCCATTGGTTTTCATGGCTCCTGTATCAAGTCTTTGCTTTTTTTTTATTACTGAATAATATTCGTGTGTGGGGGGGGGATTTCATGTCAATTTGTTAACTGCAATTTTCACCATTCTAAAAACAGTAGGTACAACTCCACTGTTAGGGAGCTCTGGTGGCCTAGTGGTAAATAGCTGTGCTGCAATCCTGAAGGCAGTTAGTTCAAATCCACCATCTGTTTTGTGGGAGAAGGATAGACAGTGTCTTCCCATGAAGTTTACTGCCTCTTGTCAGATATGGGATGGTTCCAACTTGACAGTACTCAACACCACCACCACTCCACTGTAGAGGGGGCTCTGGTGGCTTAGAGGTAAGGAGTTGCATTGCCAACCCAAAAGCATGTGGTTCAAATCCACCACTGCAGAAGAAACATAGGCAGTCTCCTCCCATGCAGTTTACTGCCTCTGAAAACCTGCTGGAGAGTCAGTGATGAGTTGGTTCCAACTTGACAGAGCACAGCTAGAACCAATATATATATATATATATATATATATATATATATATATATATGGAGCTCTGGTGGCCTAGTGGCAAGAAACTATGATGCGATCCCAAAGACACATGGCTTGAATCTACCAGCTGCTTTGCGGGAGAAGAATGGGTTGTCTCCTCCTCCCATATTTGATTAACTGTCTGAAAACTCACCAGAAGGTCAGCTGTGGGTCAGTTTTGACTCTATGGAACACAACAGCAACAACAACTCGAGAGTTAGAGATAAATGCCACGTTTGCTTATCAGTTGATGGATATTTGGGCAGTTTTCATCTTTTTTGGCTATTGTGATACTCATGTACAAGTATTTTAACACCTGTTCTCAGTTCTGTTGATGATATATCCTGGAGTGAAAGTGCTGGATCATATGCCAATTCTGTGTTTAACTTTGTGAGTAACCAATAC